GTTTGAGAACCTCTGCTCTAGTCAGTTGTATCCAGGAAATTTCCTGTTCATACAGTTCAGTGTCGTCATTGAATGTCTCCAATATCTCATCTACCAAGGAAAAATGATGTATTGATAGCATATTTGAAAAGAGGTTTTCACTCAATAGTACAAGTGCAAGGGGTCTATTGTATATGATCTTGTTCTACAGGTGGGGTAAATATCCCTGGGAAAAGGTTTGAGGTACTCTGCTTGTGTATGGTTCTGATCCAAAGACAAGCAAGTCGTAACATCAATATTGCACTTTCTTCCTACACCAAGAGCAGGAACTTGTTACGAGGTTTTTTGAATATTGGTCCAATTGGTACCAAGTTGATGTCATTAGCTATGATTCGAGATGGGCAATTTTGTCATCAGTATCATGGTGTATGCTATTAATATCCATAAAGTCCTGTTTTCCAAACAGCTGGGTCTACTGCCTGTGAGATAAGGCAGGAATCTTCACCGAGGTTCATAGTTTCTCTGGTCAGCACCTTGACTCTAGATTGCTTGGTTTCTTGATTGATTTATGCTGAGGTCTAACAGAAAAACAAGAGTTTGTGATCAGTCAAACCTGCTGTGTCTTGAAAGAGATCTCTCATCTGGGCAGTGGACCTGATTAAGTCCTTGGTGGTGGTTTTAGACTGTTTAAATGAAGATGCCATTCTTGATAGCTTAGCCATTAGGCATGTATCTCAGTAACTATCTCTTTCAAGTTGCATTTTTACTGAACAAGTGGTCCTGCTCACATCTCTGTCCCAACAGTCTTAAAGTGTCTGAGATTTCCATCTCTCTCAGACCTCTGGAGTGTCTGTATGTTCCCGGGCCTCCTTACCTGTCTCCCTGAACATAATCATACATTTGCATATTCAGATCTTATCTACAAGTTTCTCCCATTACTTGGCGAAATGGAGCTTAACTGAGGAGCCAATCGATCAAGGTCCAAAGATTGTCCATTTATCACACTATGTCAGTCACAGCTAACGTGACCTGACAGGGCTTTATCTGCCTGGAATTCAGTCCTCATCCAGGACAAAGGCAGCATCCATGGCATGCTGTCATGTTGTCTTAATCACATCATGTTGAATGACTGATACTGCAGATATGTGTGTGTTGGGAAATTTTTTCCTTCATTAAGACTTCTTTTGGGAGAGCAAGATCAGTCGCTTCTATTCACTCTTGACCTGGCATCCAGAGCTGATTTTTCTTTGACAGTGCTGCTGTGCTTTTTTACCTAAAACTCCTCAGCCCACCTTCCTGAGGGTTGTACTACTTGCTGAATCCCCACAAGTGGGAATATACACAGGCCACTTGAGGAAATGAAGGTTACATACCCTGTAATCAGAGTTCTTTCAGATGAGCCTCTGCCTATTAACAGTCCCTGCCCACCTTCTGTACTTCTTCAGAATTCCTGAATTAGTGGAAGGAACTGACTGGTGGTTGGAGCCACTCACCCTTTTGTACACTCAGAACCTTTCAGTTTGCAAGGGAGCAGGAGGGGGTGAGTGGGCCCCAATGGTGACTGCTTTTGAGAAGGTTCTGGAAGCTCATGGCATTGGTGCCATGATCCCAGAAGTGAATGTGAAGAGGCTGATCTCGAAGAACTCTGTTTACAGGTAAGTAACCTTCATTTTCCTTGTGTTCATGGTTTTGAGTTGTAGAACAAGTGGATTTAGCAACCTTCACTGTTTGCAAACCATTTTTTTATGGGTATACATGTGGTTTATTTTCCTTGCCTATCTTAACCTCGGTGAGGTGCTAGCTTTTATAAATGAATGTTTTTAAAACTGTTTGAGATGCTTTTCTGAAAGCCATAGTAGAAGTGCATATTGCTATTTCGTATTACTACAGCAAATGTGGTAAAAATAATGAATTTATATAAGCAGCTTCGTAAGTAGTTAAATTAGTGTTAGTTATTTTGCTTTTCAGTTTATAGTAATTTTCAAATCTTCTTGATATTTCCAGACCCTTGGACTTGAGATTGAAATTGATTGTTTGCCTGCAAAAACTAGATCAAAATCATGCTGATATAATGAAGGTAAGTGTAATGTCATGTTGATCTGGAACCAGGATCTAAACTCTCAGGATTTTATTCCTACTTTGAAGATGGGACTTGAATTCCCCCCCCCAGTGTCATTTGAGGAACTGTTTTAATTTTATTTACATAAAGAATATCAAGGTAATATGCTGTTGGAATAATTATATTTACGTGATATAAAAGTAAGCAGAGGAAGATAAAAATAGAATCTCTGCTTAACATATCTGGGCATGTTTCTGTACTTGCAATGGTGTTGTGCAGCTGAGTCCTTTCCAATCAGTGAAATAGCTTCTTGCAGCTCCCCATTTAGTATTATGTGACAAAGTGGCCGATGTTGGTATGGTGCGTTCCACGCTTTTCTTGGCAAGGGAGCTAAGATGCCACCTCTTGCCTCTGTTCCTGGGGCGCTGAGGGCCCTGCTAGTGGCCCGGGAAGATGGCGGGGAAGGGGTCTGGGTTTGCGCCTCACTCTGAGCCCCAGCCCCTCTCAACCCCTGCAGGTTTCTTACTCTCTTCCCCCTTGGGTAGGGCTACCCTGGGTCCTTGATCCTGGGGGAGGGAGTCTGCCTGCCCTGTTGGGGCAGGGTCTCCCTTTCTCTTGTTCTCTGGTCTTTCAATTGTCAGCAACACACCTCCAAACTTGAGTCCTCTCTCCTTCCTCGCACACCCTGACTGCCTGAAGCAGGGGGTTTTATTAGGTTCCTGACAGGGTCTTAATTGACTACAGGTGCTCCAATTAACCTGTAGCAACCCTCCCTAGTCTATGGAAAACCCTGCCTTAATTAGCCTAGGGTTTATATATTTCCCCTCTACCACTCTCCCACTGTTCCCTGGCCCTGCTGTATCATAATTATCATAGAAGGCACATCTAGAGAAAGAGCATTAATATTAAAAGGATGGTTGTACAGAGATACTGAAATTAAATAGTAATCCTTTTTGTTGCCTCAGTCTGCTTTACTTAAATATTCATAATTAAGTCTTTACCTTTTGCTTTGGAAGAATGAATGTGCAGATTTATAAAGTATTTAAATTTTGTATCTTTTGTAGTTCGTTACCCAAATGTTTCTAAAATGTATAATTTTACTTAAAGGTGATCTACAAAAAACTTAACAAGTTGGAGTTGCATTTTTTTGCTGCTTTTGCCTGGATAATTATTCTCTGCTTGCTGTCTTTCCTAACCCTGTGGACTCTGTTTGTATTTCTAAAAGCAAGCAATGCCAAGTCTGCTCGTTCCTGGTATGTTGCTGGTGGACTCTTGTCTGAGAAATGTAGTGTGGGCTCTTACTTTAATTGACAGAGTAGGTACATTGACTCTACAATAATACATACTTTTCCCCCATCTGTTAGGAATTTGAGTTAAATAGGAATCAACAAGGTTTTAAACTGGCTGGCTGGAAATCCCTTACCCTCTGTTATTTAGCTGTAACTCTTTTAATGTCATAACTTCACTATTCTCCAGTACTATGGCATTTTCCAGGATAGACAAGAACTGAATTTTAATGTTTTTTTGTTTTTGTTTTTAAGTTTTGACAACTTTTCAGACTTCCTTTATCATAGAGAGGCGAGCCCATTCCCTTTTTTGTAGGTCATATTTTTAAACCTTAGTTTCAATGGTGTTTGAAATTTTCTAGGTTTTTAATGATCCTATTCACGGCCATATTGAAATACATCCTCTCCTCGTTCGAATCATTGACACTCCTCAGTTTCAACGCCTGCGATATATAAAACAGCTGGGAGGCACTTACTATGTTTTCCCAGGAGCATCGCACAACCGCTTTGAACACTCCTTGGGGTAAGGCAATATTCTCATGCATATAAATCTCCTCCATTTTGATTTCTCTGCCAAGGTTCTCTTCCTTTCCACCAATCTGGAGTGACTGTAAGGCTGGTCTGGCGTATTGTGTCTAGTTGGAACTTAAAACTAGCATTTTAGACAATGAGTATACACTGTCTGAATTGTTACTTGAGGTTTATTTCTAGAGGTGGGCAACAAAAATTACTATAGGCTTTGAGAAACTTCTGTCTGAGAGTGAAAAGATGGTGGTACTTCAGTTTAGAGATGAGAGGATATGATAGAGGTAATAATATGTAGAGAAGGTAGATCATGCATTAATCCTTCCCTTTTTTCATAACAAGAATAAGGGGTCATTCAATGAGATTGAATGACAAATGTAAAGTTGATAAAAAGAAATATTCTTCTATAATGCATAATAAACCTATGAAACTCATTGCCGCAATATATAATTAGAGCCAAGAGGTCAGAAGAATTAAAAAATGGTTAGGTATTCCTGTGGATAATGAGAACGTCTACAGTTGCATAAAATAGGATTCAAAATAAGGGATATAAACTCATGCTCCAGGGCATAAGCCAGTCAATAACTGATTTGTGTTAGGAAGGAACTTCCATAATCAGGTTATTCCCTAGTTGTCCACAGTGATGATTTTTGCATCCTCTGAGGCATCTGGTTATTGGCCATCGTCCGGGTACTGGATTGGATGGACTGGTGTAAACAATTCCAATGTCTCTGTGGAGGTTGGAGGAGTTGAAGGAAATAAGGGCAGCGATCTAAGCAGGAGCAAGCTTGTGCAGGGACTTGAAAATGAGGAAAAGGACTTTGACTTTGTGGTAGGCGACGGAAGCCATTGAAAGGGTTTGAGTTGGAGTTACAAGAGGAAGATGACTTTGGTAGGAGCAATTTTGACTGACTAAAGTGGGAAGAGGGGAGAATAAAGTCCAAAGAGAAGATTACTGTAATCAAAGTGTATTCTTATGAGGTCGGGATGGAATTCTTGAGGTGAGGACTCCTTGGATGTGAAATCTGTTGCTTGTTTCCTTCAAATATTTTTTTTCCATGGTGTAGGTTTTACAAAAGGAAGTAGCTAGCTTCCATAACTGGACTGAAGTTTAGGTTTTGAGCATCTGTTGCTGCTCTCTACTGCACTAGAGCTATGGTTTACAATAGCTAAGGCAGAGCTGAATTGGCAATTTCTCTTGTTTCTTTACTAAACCTCAAATTATTAACTTTTCTCATATTTTCTGCCTGGAACAGGGTAGGCTATCTGGCAGGATGTCTGGTCCGGGCATTACACGAAAGACAGCCAGAGTTGGAAATAAACCAGCGAGATATTCTCTGTGTTCAGATTGCTGGACTTTGTCACGATTTGGGTAAGCAGCTCTTTAGAACAATTGTTTGTTAGCTTAAGTGGTTGCTGGGTGTGACTGAATGCACCCATGTATTCATCCCCTACATGCTATATCTTCGTACAAGGTATGTGGGTATGATTTAAAAACTCATAATTTGCCTCTCAGTATTGTCCTAATAAAATGTATGGCAATGCTGTATGTGAAGTTATAAGATTCACCTGTATGATGATGTTAAGACCTGTTCCAAACCACACAGCCCTGTCCAAGCAGAAGTTGGTAAATAGGTCTGTCCTAAACAAAGGAATGTGTGCTTGCCTTAATTTGCATTTAAGCAGTAAACAGAGGCTCCAAGCCCGAAGGGAAAACAAAGAAAGCTCAAACAGGTGGGGGAAAAAAAGAGCAGGGATCATCATTCCACATAGACATTTTGTCTCTTGGTTCTCAGCTGGAAATGTTTTTCAAGAGGGTAATTGCAACTATAAAAAGCAAGGGAAAACACCCCAAGGTACCCTCCCTCTGTCTGTCTCTGGCATCACACCTAAGAAGACAAAGGAAAATAGCCATTGGACTCAGGGAAGGGGAGAGGTCCTGACCTGAAGAGTTTGGTCAGTAACCTTGCTGGAACACGTGATGAGAAGTTTTGCTTGAATCTAATATAGTTTGTTAGGCACTAGTAAGCATTTTGTCTTTATTTTTCTTTTAACCATTTCTGGTTAATCATTACTTACTTAAAATCTCTCTTTGTAGTTAATACACTTTTTTATTGTTTTATATAATCAGTGTTTAAGTTGAAGTGTCTGGGTAACTCTATTTAAAGTAATAAACTGGCATATTATTCCCTTAAAAGAGTAACAAACTTAATATATTTGTACTGCCCAGGAGAGGGCTGGGCAGTACAACCATACATGTCTGGGTAAAAATCTGGGCCTGGGAGAGTGTTGGGGTCACCGTGCAGTATAAACAAAGCTGGTGAGAGCCAGGGTTTAACTGGGAAGCTGAAGTTACACACAGACACTGAGGGTGTTTCTGGAAGGCTGTTTGAGAGTTGTCTAGGTGGGAGCTACTACCAATAAGGTATTGTAAGGCACCCAAGGTTGCAGGGCAGAGGTGACACAGCTCCCCACTGGTTTGAATTGTACCCTGGTATGTCACACTGGGTCACTGTCCACCCCTTCAAATTATTATTGAAATTTGGTATGTGTGATTCTTCCATGGATGGTCTGAATGTCTCTATCCCTTCAGAGAGACACGGTGGTGAGGTAATATCTTTTATTTGATCAACTTCTGTTGATAAGCGATACAAACTATTGAGCTTTCACAGAGCTCTGAAGTGACCTGAAGAAGAGCTATGCATAAGCTCAAAAGCTTGTGTCTCTCAGAAGTTGGTCCAATAAAAGATATTACCTTACTCACCTTGTCTGTCTTAATATTCTGGGATCAACATAGCTACAACATTCTATATTCCTTCTGACTTATCTAGTAACATTTCAAAGTGAAAGTGTTAATAATAATAATAATAATAATAAATTAATTAATAGGTATATCTCCATATATTATTAGCTCCTAGAACTGGAAGGGACCTTGAAAGTCCAGCCCCCTGCCTTCACTAGCAGGACCAAGTACTGATTTTGCCCCAGATCCCTAAGTGGCCCCCTCAAGGATTGAACTCTCAACCCTGGGTTTAGCAGGCCAATGCTCAAACCACTGAGCTATCCCTTCACCGAAAAGTAATAACTATTAATTGCTTTCCAGATGTTTAATACATCTTTAAATTTTACGCTGCTCATCCACTGCATTGCTGACACAGAGCACCTCCTGTGTGCTCAGCAGTACTGGAGCTCATTTGCAACACTGGATATTAGCTCTGGGTTTATTGAGTTGAAGCAGTGATTAGCCAGAACACTGCAGTTTTTCTGATGCTTCTTGGAAGGTGTGCTAGGATCTTTGATTTCCACTTGGACAGAAGGGAGAGAGGATGAAGATGGACAGAGGACCTTTAGTTTAATCTCCTATCTGAAGAACAGTCCCTGTAAAGTTGCTGTATCTATTCTTACTCCGTCTGCGTTTGTATAGTATCAGAGGGGTAGCCGTGTTAGTCTGAATCTGTAAAAAGCAACAGAGGGTCCTGTGGCACCTTTGAGACTAACAGAAGTATTGGGAGCATAAGCTTTCGTGTGTAAGAACCTCACTTCTTCAGATGCATCCCTGATAGACATTTATCTAACCTACTCTTAAATATCTCCAGAGATGGAGATTCCACAACCTCCCTAGGCAATTTATTCCACTGTTTAACCACCCTGACAGTTAGGAACTATTTCCTAATGTCCAACCTTAACCTCCCTTGCTGCAGTTTAAGCCCATTGCTTCTTGTTCTATCCTTAGAGGCTAAGGTGAACAAGTTTTCTCCCTCCTCCTTATGACACCCTTTTAGATACCTGAAAACTGCTATCATGTCCTCTCTCAGTCTTCTCTTTTCCAAACTAAACAAACCCAATTCTTTCAGCCTTCCTTCATAGGTCATGTTCTCTAGACCTTTAATCATTCTTGTTGCCCTTCTCTGGACCCTCTCCAATTTCTCCACATATTTCTTGAAATGCGGTGAAAGAATTGGGTTTGTTTAGTTTGGAAAAGAGAAGACTGAGAGAGGACATGATAGCATTTTTCAGGTATCTAAAAGGGTGTCATAAGGAGGAGGGAGAAAACTT